AAAAAAAAAAGTAACAGTGACCAAATTAGTGTAATGCGATTGGTAAACTGGCGATCACTAGAAGGCCGCATAATACAATTTTTTACACTCAGTGATTAATTGAAACAAATTTAATGATATGAAGAGAGAGGGTGAACTGAGATATAAAAATCTATTAATTTATCAAATTTAACTTAGTCTTTCTGCTTCTTTTTTTCCTTGTGTTTTTTGAAAACTTTTTCCCCCAATTCTTTTTTATAGTTCTTTTGTATTAAACATTTCTTTAGCAACAATCCAGCAATTTTGCTCCGTTTTCTTTTTTTTTTTGCTCTGCTATTTTACTGTTTTTGCTTTCTTTTTGCTCAGAAGAACCAAAATTGTAATAGAATGTTAATCTTCATTTACTTCTAGCCCCTATAAAAAAAAATTTTTTGCTTTTTCTAGTACTGCCATTGCGGCTATTATTAACACATGTAATTAAACAAGAAATTATTACTCTATTTATAAATAGTTGACAAAAGAGTATAAGACATCTGTTTAATAAACGAAGTAAAATTTTTTGAACTTCTATTCTTATTCTTTTAGCTGTATTTTGTTGTAATTTTTTCGCTCAAGAGTTTTGCCTCTTTGCTTTTTATATGCATTCCTCTAGTTCGTCAAATTTTGTTGTTAAATCAGAAACTAAAAAATATAAGGAAAAGAATAAATATGCGTCAAAAAAAATTAAGAAGAGAAAAGAAGACAATCAGCAGTGAATTGATGTCCGTTAAAAAGCTAAAGATATTAAATATCAAAAAAAAAAAAAAAAAAAAAAAACGAAAAAATTTTAAGACATTCCAAAATTTTTCAAAATTACAGGTTTTGGTTGATAAGCGCATAGAATTAAAACATGGCAATTTTCTTGCTCAAATTCTAATAAACGTTTAACTTAAAGCTGTTGGACGTTCTGCCAAAAGGTTTTTTTCAACAGTTATTGCTCCTGATTGACTAAATACAGTGATCCATTGAAGCACTTATTTAATTTAACATTTCACTTGATAGCTGAAATACCAGAAATGCGCACACTGTAGCAGTAGCGATGAACGAAGAAGATGTATCAGAAGAAGATGGTAGTGACGACAATAATAAAATGACTTGTTTCTTTAAGTTTAGATGTGATCGAAAAATGAAAATTGCTCATTTTCTGCTTACAGCACTGATAGGACAGTTCCACATCTTGTCCTTTTCAAAATGATGTCAAAAAGTATAAGTGAATAAGAAATTTCTGCTGAAGTTTTTAGCTTAATATACTTATCTGATCGAAATAAGCTAAAAGAAATAATTTTTTACTGATTTTTTTTCCTTTTCCTAAATTCCTTAAGCACCTGCAATATGGAGCACTCGGGTGTGGTTGAGGTTAAAAAAGTAACTGCTGTAGAAAGACGCACGTTGACCATTTTTGGGGTATTTAAGCTCATTTCACTGAAAAACAGGAGAATGGTTTATTTGAATGACCGGCCATCAAAAATTAAAAGCAGTAGAGAGAACTTTTATTGTCATTTTGAATTCTTCTCAAAAATTTCTTTTTGAAAACCCTCGAGAGGCGTTACGTGTTTCGCAAAAGTTAAAAAACATAACAAAGTGAAAAAAAGCAGTAAACTTCAAAAAAATGAAAATTTTTAAGAAGAAGAGCTTTAATCATAGTCAAAATTTGCATTCTTTTTAAATGTTTATTACACTTATACCTATTAGCCTAAAATTTATGTTTAGAGAACATACGAGGTACAAGTTAGGTTTTTTGTTGCTACCGTTGTTTTTCGACCTTTATGGTTATGGTGAAATAAACCAACGAATTGAAAAAAAATTTTTAGCATTTTAAAGAGGAATATGATAAATTTCCAACTTGGTAAATCTACAAGTGCGATTTCTGCTTCACTGCTTTTGGCAGTAAAAAGACTAGAAATAAAAGTAGAGTGGTTGAAGATAGAAAGACGTAGAAAGACGATGTTTTCAAATGAGAAGTTGAAGCTCTTGTTTTTAATCTACACATGGGCCATTCCACGCCAAATCGCACAAATTTAAACTTCGACCTCTTAGATTTTTTTCATTTTTTGCCAACTTGTAACGCTTGTTACCGGATTTTGAAATCGAAAGAGCTTACCTCAAAAAGTGCGCTGGTGGCAAAGTTAGACCGTTCTAAAGTGCAAAAAAAACGCAATTCACCCTCGACATGGTCACATTTAACAACTTATATGTCTCGCAGTTCACAACGGATTTTTCTCATTCTACTTTATTTGAAAGCATATCTCCTGCAGATTCAGAAAAGCGGTAAAACGCTTAAATTAGCAAATTTTGATTTAGATTAAAATAAAAACAAAAATTCAAAAAGGTTTTTCTCAAAAGACAACATTTTAAATTTTTCAAAAAAAACTTGTTTTTTTAAAGATATAATTTTTACACGACATATAAAAATCATAAAGTGGTATCTTTACGGAATCAAGAGTTACGGTAAGATTAATGATAGTAAACTAGAAAAAACGCTTAATTGAAGCAGCATTTTGGCGCAAGCCTCAAAACCTTTGTTTCCACTAGAATTTCATTTGTTTTTGTAGTGTATATAATTCTTGTAAAACTTTTCAACTCTACTACTCTCGTAACAGACAATTAGTTAAATTTCATTTACTTTAAAACAATTTCACAGAAATTTTTTAAAAAAATTACTACTGTGACTATTTTTTTGGTTTATACCGCTCTGCTTGCTTATTTAACCCGTCTGATCCAAATATTTCGCACTCGGTATTGTTTTTTGATTGCGAGTATTGTCTTGCTGGTATTTCTTAGTAT